ATGGTAGCAGTAAACAATTTTCATATATTAGGTCAGATTTGATGTGGTTTTCTAATAAAGCAGATACTTGCTTAAAGCAACTATGCATTAAATCCATTAAATATGTGAAAACACAGTGCATTTGGGAAAAATTAATTTGAAATTTGTCATGTTGCTTTCCTCTGCTCTGACATTGGCTATATATTTACATTTAGAAATAGTACTTCAAGGATGGATGAGCTCTTAAGAGTGTTCAGATAATTCAATTTGCAACTATGTTTTAAAAGCAAGATAATCTGATCCATGTCATTACCAAGCTGCTGATTTAAATTTAAACACCTTGGACTCAAGTCACCAATCAATCTTATAAAAAAGGCACTACGGAGTCAATTCTTCTCTGTATTTGGTCCTACTTTGTAAAATACCTAAGCACACGGTTTTTACTGTGAACTGCTTGAAATCTCTGGACTAAGAAGGGTATAAGTCTACAAATAGAGACAAAGTGAGTCATGTATTAGTCAATAGGGAAGTCATCAAAGGATTGTCCTTATCTATATGACCAGAACAATTCTGCTGCTTAGGATTGGGGATGCAATACAAAACCACCTACGTCACAGACTGAAAAAATAATCTGGTAGCTTCCAAATAAAAAAGAAAGGAAAACAAATTATGACCTTCTAATTATAACTCACAAAACCTAAAAATTAAACTTTTAGGGTCATTGAGGTCTAGCCTTCCATCAGATTCTGGAATGCCCTAGGTCCCATACCCAAGTCTCTACTACCGTTGCTGTGCCTGTGGTCTTTACAAGGATTTTTTTCTGTAACATGATAATCCCCAGGGAAAAGGGGGGTTCCAGGTTCCCTGCCCCACCTAGAGGAAGGGTAGAGCTAGGCAAGGAAGACAAGATAGAAAAGACTAGAAAAAGAATTGAGGTGGAACAAGCAAAGGAACGAGGAGAGGGGAAGAAAGCAAGAGACTGGAAGACCTGGAGGAGGCACATGGAGCAAAGAGACATGTGGAAAAGAAGCTGGGCTTGCTTCTTGGCCTTGGGCTTGCACCAGGACCTTGGAGAGGAGAACGTGGAAGGAGACACTTGACAGAGACAGAGATGTGGGTGAGAGACCTGTGGGGAGGCTGACAATGCCAGCCTTCATCTTGACTTGGGTTTTGATTTTGCTCTTTTCCTTTCAGACTTGCCTGGCCCTTTCTGCCCCTTTCCTGTGGGTCCCCAAACAAAAAGTGCTGTAGCCTTGTGGCAAGCTTTAGGCACTCAGTGGCCGTGCTTTGGGCCAACCCTGTTTGGCTGGGCACTTACCCAGGAGGGGATGGGTAACGATGGATGCTTGAGTTGGAAACTCTGTTCATTCTCTTCTCTCTATTGCACACTAATTGCATTAAAGTTCCTTTCTATTGACGATCTTGCGCACTAGAATATGTTTTGTCTTGATGTGGCAGATGGCAGAACCTACTTAGAGCACACAGGTTTGGGGGGTCCCCTCACTCTGCTCTGTAACATGTCTCCATTCTCATACACCTCCTGCCTTAGGATTGGTTCTGGCATAAAAGACAGGGAAAATTTCTTGCAATGAATGAAGTCAGCTATTAACTACCATTCCTGCTCTTTACCCCTTTTCGTTTTTCTCTTACTTTTCCCATTTAACAGGACTACAGAAAGCACATTGAGACAAAAAAGCTCTTGAAAACAATCACTGGTCTTTTTTTTTGGCCCCTACTTCAGGATCAAGGGTTCCCTTCTCTTCAACTTTGCACTTCATTTTTTTTTTTAAAGATTTGTTTATTTATGCATACAAGAGCTGGAGCACTGACCAGAGATTTAGAAGGTGAGAGGATTCACCAGAAATAGAACAGGAAACAGAACAGACAGACTGACTGAAATACACTGCTGAGGGGAGCAGCAGGTGAGACAGGAGAGGTCTGCTGCATCATGTGGGTAGCTCCCTGGCGGGCCAGGGATCGAACTCATGCTGCAGAAGCTGCGGATTGCTTTATAGTGTGGTGCTTAACCCCTTGAGCCACCAGGGAGGCCCTGAAATAAATTTCTTATAAAATTTCCAAAGTTTTTTGAAAAAGCCTCTGAAAATTGTGTAATTAATTTTGTGTGTGTGTTTTTACATAAGGACACACAGCTTTTTCATTTTGATCTGCTGCAGCAAATTGCAGTTGTCATTTTTTGCGAAAACACTGACATCTTTTTATAGTCTCTTTTTTTTCTTCAATGCTGTTATAATGGGAACATTATAAAACCAGTTTCCAATTTCTACTTGGTTTTGCATGAGTAGTATGCCTTCATTTTGAATTAAAAAAAAAAAAAATCAGGGCCTCCCCGGTGGCGCAGCGGTAGAGCGCTGGGTTGCGAAGCTGCCCGCAGCCTCTGCGGCGCTGGTTCGATTCCCGGCTGCTCCCCGGCCACCGGAGGAGGGTCCCACATGGTGCGCAGACCTCTCCTGCCGCCCGCTGCTCCCCTCAGCAGTGTACTTCGGTCCTTCTGTCTGTTCTGCTCCCCGCTCTGGCTCTGGTGAATTCTCTCACCCTCCCGCGCTTCTGACTGTACCCAGTGCTTGTATAAACAAAACAAATGAACAAATAAATAAATAAATAAATAAAACATGCCTCTATAAAAAAAAAAAAAAAAATCGCCCATGTTTATTTTTTCCACTACCAGTAGAATTTAATCTGTTATGATTAAAATAATAAGTATTTTGATTTAGTTATCAATTATGACTTCCATAGGGATTGTTTAGCTTTGGTAGTCTACATAAAATGCTCAGATCGACATATTACCATGTTAACCTCTGCACATAGAAAAAAAATCTTTTAAACTGAATCAAGCCATTGACACCTATTAGATTGGTCATGTATAAATTGGAAATAAGGCATGTGACAGAAACACACGTTATAATAAAGAATTTTATCTTATGTAATGCACTGGTCAAAAACAAAATGTAAACCCACTGGAACTAAAGTAGCATTTTATGACAACATAGTTTGCACTGTTTTAATTTTTAAATGTGAATTAATTAAAGTTCAGTAAAAGAAAAATTTCAGCCCTTCAGTCACACTGACCATATTGTAAGTGTTCATCGGCCTTGTGTGGTTAGTGACTACCATTTAAAAAAAAAAAAAATTATTTCAAACAGTCATAACTATTTGGTAAAATTAATGCACTGAAACCAGAATGAAATATCCAATAAAACTTTAAATGTTTTCAATGTGGTATAAATTTGCAACTCCAGACAACTGTGTAAAGCTTGGCCCTTACATAAAAAAGTACCTTTTTTAGATGGAGACATGCTTAAAGAAATTATTTCAGTTACTGCAGTTTCATTATAACCAATGAGAAAAAAAATCAAAGATGTTTCACAAAATCTTGCAAGATCCCTAAGCTCTTAAATAAATATGGCAAAGATTTATTCATTCAAAAGTTGGAAAAATGGGAGTATTTTTCATTATTTTTAGTTGAGTTGTGTAATCTAAGTCACTGAATAATACTTTGGTTATGTTCTGTCTCAAAGATTTTCAAAATCATTAAAAAATATCGTTAGTTCCTAGGATAAAACATCAGATTCATGGCATAGGTATTTTTAAATCTTTTTAAAGCTATGAAAACATTTTAATTGGATAATTTAGTCCGATTATACAGATGTTGCTTTAGCTAATTAGGTAAAAAAAATCTGAATTTTTTGCAATCTTATTGCTTAATATCTATGTTTGCTACATATTGAAAGTATCTGTGATAGGTTTTCTAAGGCAGACTTCTTAAAAGTCATGGCTCCAGTCTTTAAAATCATCTGTATGTAGCAACTAGTATGAAAAACCATCATCTTAGGAAACTGTTAAAAGAAGCAGAACACAATCTAATGGTCTGTATTCTTTGCAAATTCTTGTCAGTTGAATTACAGAAGGGTTTTGCAAAAATTTACTACAATGTTAACTCTAATTCAAGATTTTTTGGAAACAAAAGAACAGCTTGCCAAATATTCAATAAGCAAAGGCAAAAAGTGGAACTATGATTCATACCACAAAAAATGACAGTGTGCTTTATGTTTCTCACCGATATGACACTGCATATAAATGAGCTAAGTCTGATGCTCCAAAAGAAAGTAAAAACAAAATGACCTAGTAAGACAGTCTGGGAATTGGGATGCTTTAAGAGAAGCTTTTCATAGTAAAATTCAATAATAATTATTTTACAATCTTTCTAATATGAATCAATATTTCAAAGATCTTAATTATCATCAACAGTATTATATAAACTAAAACAAAATGTTGAATAATGCTGTGTTAGTTGTGATCAATGTAAAGATGATTTTCAATTCATGTAATACCACTTTGATTTTGATGGCAGTTACAATGAATTTACACAGAAGTTAGTGAATTTACACAGAAGTTACTCAATTTAGACATAGTTCTCAAACTATATCTAATCACTAGCTTTTTAAAAGATGAACCAATCTTGTCCAATACATGCAAATTTTAAAGGAAAATGGCTTTCTGGTACGTACTTTAATTCTTGGAAAACTGTTAGGTATGTTCAGAGTTACTTGGGCCTCCAAACCTACTTTTCAATGACAAATTTTATGAAATCTAAAAACAGATCAAGTATCTCTGATGAAAATTTAATATCTAATTTGAGACATGAGATAATTGTAAATTACATGCCAAATTTTGAAGGCTCTGTATGAAAACAAAATAAAAAATATAAATCATGTTTTATTTTGATTATGAATTGAAATGGTAATATTTTTTAATTGTGGGGTTAAAAAAATAGATCTAGAAAAATTTTATCAACTAGTCAGTCTGCAATGACATAATAAAGATGCTTTTCATTATTTTCAGATTTTCTACACCTGATCACTCATGGAGATTTTTCAACCCTCTCAGAAGTAAAGCACAATTCCCCACTCCTTAAGTTTTCCTTCCAACAAGTTCTGTATGAAAGGGTTAGGGGAGTAAACTTACTGGGGTGCAACCTGCTTTATACAGGTGATCAAGCTTACCATCATCGGTGATATCTCTTCAAAGCAAACTCTGAGAAAATTTCACATTGAAGAAGTCTAAAGAGATACCATGTGGCTATCCTGGATGGGATTCTGGAACAGAAAAGGGACATGAGGTAAAAAATAGAGGAACTCCAAATGAATTCTGGAGGTCAGTTAACAACAATGTATCAGTGTTAGTTGATGGACTGTCACAAACAGACCACATGCTAGTATAAGATGACAACATAGGGGCCACGACTTTCTGGGTAACTAGTGACTTCTGTACTATCTTCACAACTTCTCTGCAAATCTGAAACTATTCTAAAATAAAAATGTTATTATAAAACTCTAATTCCACTGTTTTCTTTTTTTTTTTTCATGTAGTTACTGAAGCTTTTCAAATTTCACTTACAGCCTGCATAATGACCCTATTATAAAGCACAGAAAATGAAGTTGCTATGGTACAGACAGCTGGGACACTGCTGTCTGGAATCCTCTGGTACGAAGCCTGCCTTTACCTCTTAGCACACAAAACACATGCCTGCTTAGCCCAAGGCCCTCATGTAGACATGGAGTGAAAAAAAAAAAAAGTGAGTGCAAAGATTGCATAAGATGGTCTATTTGAAGGAAGCGAGCACAATTATTGGCCTATGATGAATAAACTGTACTGACTTCTACCAAGTGCTGGAGTCTTGCTCTTACAAAAACAGGCAATGCAGTACAAAGCTCTGGGGAACGTCAGGTAGAAAGGTTCCCCAAAGAGAACAACATTTAACCTGGATCTTCAAAGTTGTACAGGGGCTCTGATTCGAGTCCAGAAAAACTGTTGATTCCCATGTGGGCATCTCCAATCAAAATGCTGACCATGTAATACAGACTTATTTTTCTCTCCCATCTTAAAGGCTCACATCCAACTCTCTTTCTTAGTCAGTACTTTCTCTGTTGCCAGGCTATCTGTTCTCTTTATGTAAGCTATAACATAGACTATATAAGATGTTCACATCGTAATTTAATTCCTGTACCACATGCATAAAATTATTTTTGCCTGGAGCTTAAGTAAGTATAATTTTAATGCATAGGAATAAAGAGGCTTAGTCAGTGTATACTCCTTAATCAATTCACAAAATACTTAAATTTATTCAATTTTAGCTGTATGATAAAAATAGATGCCCATAGTTTTCTTACCAGCAGGAGATAGACAATTAATTCCATTTCCAGGAGAATGCTTCAATGACAACAATCTCTTCTCCTACAGTATGTTGCTTTCTAGTCACCTCCCATATTTTATTCTGCTCATTTGTTCATTCATTTCACACATGTTGTTTAAGTGTATATTATACATTAAATATGGATGACACTTTCTTCCACATGATTTGTTTTTATGCTTCTCCTCTGTGTGTTTTATTTTCCAGGTAAGATGCAAACAATTTAGAGACTTGACTTACAGCTCCATTCTCTCCCACAGTCATCTTGCTGGCCCTCCGTCCCCTTCCAATCATTCCTTGCACACACCCACTACCATCCCTACCATCAGCCGTATTTCAAGTAAAAAGTTGTCTTTGTGAAGTCGTTTTGGGAGCTGGAACCAGGGAACCATTACAGATAAATATACCTGTCTAATTTAAACTACATAAAATCTTTTGAACAGGGTCAGAGACCTTTGGAATGGGCCAAAAGCAACTCTTTTAGAATCCATCAAAAACAAATAGTTGTTTGAGATAGCCTTCAAATCCAAAGAACTTATGAGTATGGACTTCTAGCCAGAGGAAAAAAATCTAATTGGTCAGTTTATCTTCTTTCTAGAAATTCAGTAAACAGTTATATATAACCAAAAATAATTTAAACTTGTTCACACTAATCAATTGTTTTCTTTAACCACTTATCTTCCTCTTTTCCTCCCATAAAACTTCCCACTTTATCTCTCCTTGGCAGGGGGTTCAGGGAGTGAAGCCTTCTTCTACCTGAATCTGTGTACCTCAATCCACAAATTTTCCATCCTATATATTCCCCTACTTTGCCTGTTAATTGTCTTTTGAATTTTTAGGCTAACACTATTAAGTAACAAAAATCCATGAGTTCATTTAAAAATTCTAATTGGATTTATTACATTAATGACAAATTCAAGAATCAGGAAGCATCACATCTAGCAAATAAAAAGACCCTGCAAGAAACTGTACCTGCAAGAAATTATACAACATGGAAGGTTTTTATAAGAGGGTGGGACAAGGTTATCATAAAAAGAAAAGAAAGATTACTTTTAGCAGAGTCACCATTCACTAGGGGAAGGGAAGGGCATCATGTCATATGGTTGACCTCACTGGTGCTGACAGAAACTCCAGATTGCTTAGTTTCAATTTCTACTTTTGGGAGAGGCTGAAACTGAAATTAGGTTAGGATTGAGTCTTGGAGGAGCTTGATATCAAAGACTTCAATTTGGGCATGTTATTTCTTTTCTTTAACAAAACTGATATACTTTCTAACCTAGAAGAGTGAGAATGATGCTTTTTCTACTAAGATAAAGGAAAAATGGAGGGAAGCACAGGATCACCTCTTTTTTTTTTATCTAAAATGAGTCTAACTATCAGTCCTCTACGCACCATCCCCCAACTCTAAATTGTAACTTCTATTGTATTTTTACCTAAAATTCCATTTTTAGTAATTAATGATTAAGTTCAGGCTTATCTGTTGGCAAGTCATCCTCCTTGGTGTGATAAATCACAAAAAGTTTCTCAATATGGGCCAAGCTGAGTTTGCCAGCTGTTTTACCAGGCTCAGGATCTCTAGAATGCTGACTTCCTCAAAGTGGAAAGGTTTCACGCAGGACTCAAGTCAAATGCATATAACCAAAATATGGGTTTATGGGGGAATCCACATTAAAATAATATCTGCATACAATTAAATGGACAGGGAAAATAAGGGAGGAAGGTAATAACTGAGGTTCAATAACTGAAGGTAATTAACTGAGGTGAATGCCCATCTTGGCATAGTTAGGAAGACTAGCTATGCAGATTGGGTGGACCTTGGCCAGGGAACTCAGGAAAGCATGCATCTGCAAGGGAGAGGCACCACTTCCCTAGGCAGGGGTCCCTGGAGCTTCTCTCCAAACTCTGGAGAAGGCTTTGTTCTGGACCATGGGCATGGAATCTGTGTCTCAAATTGCCTCAACTGTAGTGTCTATAATTGTGCCTCATTTCTGAGCACCAAGACCATCTGTTGATTTTGATTTAGGCGGCTCTCTCAGCACAGTGGGGATTTTATCTGTCCTGCCTTTCTTTGCACTTCTGTTTATCAGTGTCATCATAAACAAGGGGCCCACAATTTAAGTCTCTCCATCCTCTATGGCAACTGTCCCCACCTTCCCATCAGCCAGGAGATCATTATATCATCAAATTACATGACACCAGTTTCAGAAGGGAGAGAACAATCTCTGTCACAGGACGGGAAGATTGTGTTGGGTTTCAGGAACACTCCATCCAAAACTTGCGAAGGATCAAAACCTTGCATTGTTTTAGGCCAAGTACAAGTGAGTGGTTTCACGCAAGTATAAGTTTAAGTTGCTGATCAACAGACTTGAACTAGCCGTTGATTTGAGTTTGACACAAACCAGACCTTGAGTACTGAAAGCTATTTCACATAATTACTCTTCCAGTATGGAGCAAAATGGGAAACTGGGGTCTCTAATCTCTGCCAGTCTCCTTGACTGATCTGATTGTTAAAGCTGCAAAGGAAATCAGTTATGGTGGGGGAGGGGGTGTCACTGGTTTCCTTCCTACTACTTGGTTGTTATTCTAAGGAATGCATTTAATTACAGAGAGAACTCAGTTATGTGCTTTCTAGTAGTTGGCTCTTTTTGGTCATTCCTACCGGCGCCTTTCCATTGCTGAGAAACAAAGGGCTGTTTACAACTCAACCACATCTTTTGGCTTCCATCTCAGAGATTTCTCCCACACCAAAGGAAAGCGAGGTAGTGAGATGCAAATAGCCCCACAGTAGGCTACCTTTGCCAACCAGGGACCTATTTTCCACTGCATGCAAACTAGAACTCTCCGAAGACCTGTGAACTGTAAATAACTCGGGTTGTGAAAGGGGTCAGCTTGGTTTAATTTAGAGTTTCACAGAGCTTTTCTATAGAAATTCAAATACCGGTGAACAAACCCCTCTGGGGCCTTTAAAAAAAATTCCAAGGCCAGCACCTCTATTTACTCTTTAGACTCCTGCCTGTCTGGTGGAGGTCTGCTCTTAAAAGCTAATCAGCTCTGGGGTCGCTGCCTCAGCTCCCGGTGGCAGGCTGCCTCCTCACACAAGCCATGAATTGAGCTGCCGGAGCAAACTGGCGACCACAGGTCCTGGCAGAGAAAGCAGCTGTGGAAAAAACAGCCCTGAGGTTAATGCCCAGGCTGGGTAGAGGCTGCAGGCCCAAAGATGATGGCCTAGCTAAGCAGGCTTCATCTGTCTCCCAGCACAACGCTGTCCTTCTACAATGGAGGAGCCTCCATGTCCTGTCCCCTCCCCACCCCACCACCTCACCAGGGTCACCTGAGAAATACCTTCAATTCCTTTGTGTGGATACAGGGGAAAACTCCCCTACCTCATTTAGGTACTTCTAAGGCTGGACAGACAAACAAATTGCCATCAGACAGACCAATAAGAAAAAAAGTCAACATATAATAACATGCATATGAAGAATTTAATTTACATGGCTGTCAATTCTAAAGAATAATGGAGTGGACCAGGGATATTTATCCTGCTTTTGGGAACTTGAGGCATCAAGAAGCAAGAGGGGGAGACTTCACAGGACAGACAAGAAAGGGGTGACCTCATCTTCACTCAGAGAGTAAAGATGAAATTCTTAGACAGAGAAGACATGTTTACTGATAAACCTATAACTGGGTGAGACAACCCCCCCCCCACACACACACAGACACAACAATAACATTCTTCTAAGTCTTAAAAGGGGGAGCAGTGGTTGCTTTACTATTTAGGAAAAGGGTAGAATCTTTTCCTCAACTTCCATAGTCCTCACTGTTCTCAACCCAGAACATCCATGTTCATTAAGTAATAATACTCCCTCCCAAGGCATAAATGGCTCTGGATAGACTCTCAGTTTTTCC